TTCAACAGTAATCATTGAGGACCTGACAAAGAAAAGTCTTTTGCCAAAATGTGCCGTGGCGTGAACAATGTGCTAATATTTCACAAAATGAAGAACGATAAAAATAGTCTGGGCAATTCATTCAGTAATAAATGATACTTTAGTTTTTCGCGATCTTTCTGTTTTGGCAGAGATTGTTCCAATAAAGAGCAGCTTTACATTCAAATTTCCTTCCTTGCTGCTTAATTTCCGGTCCTGACTGATCTGTTCACAGCGTGGAATCAACATTCGATCCAACGACAACGACAAATGTGCGCATAGCGTGGATCATGGAGCTAGGACTTCACGCTTTCAAAATTATTTGTGCAATTAAATTTCTGCCACCCCAACATCAAAGTCTCTGTGCTAGTATGTTAATATCTTGGTTAAATATTTCAATTGTGTAATCTTGGCAATGATTTTCAGAACATAAACTCGTGAAACGACGCATAAATTGGCCCTTTGCGGTGAACCACGAAAATACCGATCCAGACTATCATCATCATCTCAAGCTATACATCGGAATTGGCTAGCAAAAAATTAAAGATAATTCAGCTAGAAATTATATGCAGTCATGTTCCCAGTCAAATTTTATGTCAGACAAAGCACAAATTGATACTAACACGACCCAAAAGTAAGATTCAGAATATAATTCAAAAATTAACCCTATCTTATCATGCATAAAAGGGTAACTTACAACCAAATAAACACTTTTCTTTCATTCTGCCTCTTGTTTTCTGCACATAAGGGCTCAAGCCACCGCACACTTTGGTAAAAGACTTTTCTTTGTCAGGTCCTCGATGAGTGCTATTGCGGGGATTCCTCCATTTAGACATCCACCACAGTGGTGTAGTGCAATAACATTACTATCTCTTTTTGCAATAATTGGAGAACCAGAAGAACCTTCTTGAGTATCAATGTAATAACCAATATCACCTTTGCGGCATTCCGTTACTACAGCCGACTCGACACGACCAAGTTGATTATTATGGAGCCATGCAATGCGCTTGCCGTAGCCGAGAGGATGCTGTGGAATGTAAATATTTTCATTCATTACTGCTCCTGTGCCTCGAAACTGCAAGTAGCCCGTCGTTTCGTACAATGTCTTAAAATCTGCAATGTTATTGTTGCCATCAAGACGCACAAGAGCATAATCCAATTCTTTTGACACTGCAACAAGTGTCGTACCAATTAGACTAACAGGACCAGGACATCCACCACGAGTTGCGCAAGTATCAATTCCAGTGCAACTCGAGGCTTCTGCTAAGAACTCCACCTTTGTATTCCGAGCATCTTGGTTGTTACTAATACAATGTTCATTGGTAATTAAATGGCCTTCACAGCCTAATAACCAACCAGTACACGACGCAATTTGCATGCCATTCTCCTTGATAATTGACAAACGAGCTACTGATCGTGATTTCGTCAACATTATCGTGCCATCTTCGTGATTGGTTGAAAATGGTACACACGCTGCTGCAACTGATTCATCAACACCGCATACACTCTCATCAGTATCCGACTCAGTTGCATTGGCCGTGCTAATAAGTGGAACTTTAATTGCGATTTGCAACTGCTGTGCTTTGACCAAAAATTTCTTTGGAGAAAAAAATAGTCGCTCAATTGTAAAGCCGCTACACGGTGTCGAATGGATAGAATGTGCACGTTTAATGAGTTCCAATGAGATGCCTGTACCAACAATGCCAATTGAATCAAAAGTTCCACTTGTGTTCTTGCCTGACCAAATAGCAACTGGTGGCAATTTTGCAGTACCATCGGATGACCTTGCAATCAATATGTCAGTTTCTGGAAGATTAAAGTGTGAAAAGTGCAACACGTAAATGCCTTTGCCAAGTCCTGGATCGAGTTGTAGGTGGTAGGATGGTTTTTTTGGAGTTGCAAGTGGCAGCGTGGAGTAGTCGGAAAAGTTGCACCCTGCACCAATTGAAAGCTGCACTATATGACCTGTCGTCGTTGCTTCAATCGTTGCAGTTGCAAGTACACTCATCAAAATCGCACGCCAATGCATTGTAAAGCCAATTGAAAAATATTGTGATTCACGTGAAGCAAATTCAAGAGTGTCGTAACGAGCTGTGTAAGATATATTGAGTATTGATTGACTGAATGATGTTTACATGATTGACGGAAAAGTTTTATTGCTTGATGGAAGCGTCATATATTGAGCATGCAAGCCTCAAACTAGCGAGATGCAACATTAAAAAATATTGCGTTTTGCTATATCGACATCGAGATTGACGTTGTTAGAAATTACACTTTTCGCTTCAACCTTTTCGGCGAATTTGTTACTTTAATGTAAACCATCATTTGACAAACGCTTTATACCCCAGCAGAAAATTGTTTTTCGTCTATTGTTTTCAGTGAATTTATTAAGAGCAAAGTAGCTATCAACTAGATCCTGGAAACCTTTATATTTATCAGACAATTTAATACGTTTCTCCTTTATATGATTACATTGCCTGGAATGAACACCAGGTAAAGGCTTAAATCAGTCATGCCAGGGAGAAGATTCAATTAAGTACGACTCAGACATTATTGCTTTTTACGAAAAGTGTGAATGACATAATAAAGACTTAAAATATAGATACTGAAAAAAGTATGTTCAGCCATGAACTATATGAATTTTCAACTTCAGTTCAATAGTTCCTAACTTTTTACGATATAAAAGTACAGTCATAACAAATGAGATTGAATCGAACAAAAAACCAGGACGAGAGTTACACAAAGTTTTTTGGACTGTATCTGGTGCAATAAATGTACCCTACTATATTGCCCAGACAAGATTTTGTTTTTAGAACAACACAGCGGTCGAGTGACCAGTCATGGGTGTAATGGGCCAGGTTTAGTATGTGTGGACCATTTTTTTGTGTGTTTATTACAATAACTGTATCTGCATTGTTAGATCTCGCCTTCAGTTAGAACTGGTGACACTTATCAGGTTAAAAAGGGTTGAAGCCTATTTGCCCTAATAATGAATGTCACTTCACCCTTTTGCCCCTCTTTACGTGAGTCAACGGCTCGCTGAGAGTGAGCAACACGCGGTGAGATGTAGTAATCGTTTTAAAATTTCCTCAGTAAGTGCGTCTATACAGACGGACAGTTCCCGGACCACTTGGTAACACTAGTAGTCATTCAAAATCGCCAACTACCTTGATGGATATATCTACGGATTTTGTGGACATCACAGGCGGTGGTCGGCCTCAGATCAGCAGGGAGATATAGTTGTTCCTAACACACTCGAAATGAGAGTGTGTGGTAAAGATGCGAGCTTTATTTGGAGATCACGCGGAATACGACATACACCAATCGAATCAAGAAGCGATAACTCAACGCTTAGCAAATTTAGTCTTCAATCAAGGGTCATCGGGATGTTTATCGCTGAATATATTATATCGACACCAGCTCCGTTACCTCCACCACAAGTGGTGGTAAGACCACGGAACATCCTTGTTAAAGTCAAGGTGAAAAGCTTTCACGGAAACGAAGATGAAATCTTGCGTTTTGATAAAATGAACAACGCCATCGCGATGGCTCGAACTCATGATAGCCACAACCAAGAGGCCTTCGCCGTGTTGCATTTGGATGGCCGTGCGAAAAATTGGGCAATCATATGGAAGTCGACCGCCCCGGCTACTTTGCCACATGGCAAGATTTGACGAAGGTCGTGTTTCTAGACATTTTTCGACAACGGTCGAAGGTTTTGTCATGCCGTCAAGACAACGGGTCATTGTACGATTATGAACAGAAGCTCCGTGAGCTTCGTGACAGTATGGCAAGCAAACCACTACCAAAGGCAGTGATGGGTCACTCACTGTGTTTATAAAGGGACTCACTTATGGTTCTCCGACAACTCGGGAAAATGCAATTATGATTGTATTGCGTGAGAACTGCTGCCAACGTCAAGCACGTGATCAGTCGATCAATCCGATGGAAGCAGTGACTGCTACTACCGGAGATACCCCGGTAGTCCATGCTGTAAACGATGAGTGCAGAACCAATGGATCCTAGCGCGGTGACTGTACGTAGGCAGGTAATGGACGTTAACAATGCGGTCATATCCGCCGTAATTGTACACGTCAGATTCGATCCTCTCAACACGGCTTCGTCGTAATGATTCCGAGTCACGTGGTACCAATACCACGAGGTGTTCGGGAAACGCCGAAACCCGGTAGATGCAGGGCGGTCTACTGGGGGCAGTAATAAGCTGGTGATAGAATCGCTCATGGGGGTCTAGCCCTCGAAAGATCGTTATCCTACGTTAACGACACTTGTCGTTGTGGTCTCCTCGTGGTCACAGCGAGTGTAAAGGGTTACGGTCGTTTGCGAAAGTCTTAATTGACTTTGGTGCGTCGCGTAACAACGCGCGGAAGCAAGTGATGCTAAAAAATGATTCAGTGCTTTCGGATGCACTAGATAAAAGCAATGGCTTTATCTGTGCAAAGTTGAACACTGGTGCGGTGGTCACCGCGGAGAAGATTATGGCTAATATTAACTGGAGTTTGATGGTTTTACCTCGAAGGAAGAAGTATTCACCGTCTTCGAGATGGACAAACGGTATGACCCAAATCTAGGCATATCGTGGCTTAAGAAGCATGAGTAATGAATTAGTTGGCGATCGAAAACAATTGGGAGTCGCTCTCCCGGAGTAGGTGAAACTCTTGAATACAAGTCCATATTCACTATGCATTAAAGAAGCTCTCAAGCTATCGGCAGTCGTATGCTGCTGGAAACGATTCAGACTTCATTGGTATATGTCATGCAATTGACATTTTTCAGGTTAGGGAAGATACGGAGTCGCATGGAGTGGCCACGGGTGGTCACTCAGGAATGTGTCGACGGATCAAATAGTGCCCGGAACTGGCTACTTGAAAACGAAGGGATCGTTCTTGGGCATGGCGATACGCCCAACAAAAAAAATGAGAAAGGAATGGCAGTTGTTGCTCTTCTGGAAATGCCCGTCCGTGTACACACACTGAGGAAGACCAAAAAAGGGTTTTCTCAAATTCTTCACATGGTCTTAATTCTTCTTCAAATCTCTGTCAAATTCTCCCTAGCTCTTGCTCCATGTGAAATCTTCGCCACCTTCAAATTTGAATCATGTTTCAATTCCAAGTCATCCAGCGCATTTGCGCTATAGTGAACTTAGTCGTCATGATGACTCTCACGACCGACGTGGTGGTTCTGCCTAAAAGTTCATCGAACGCTTTAGCTGAATTAGTGCTTAACTGATGACTCGTATCGCGTATTTTTGGCGCCATCGGACCGATTACTCGTGCTTGGAGGTGAACAACGAAGCCTCGAGTATTTAATATACGTCCAGCAATCCAATTTGGACACTCCAGACCATTGACACTCGATTCTGGACATGGGTTCATGCCACCAGATCCGTGAATATCCACCGTCTGCAAAACACGAGGACTTGTTGGTGGTACGCGATATGCTCTTTTGATTTGCGCATTTGACAGCGCAAATTGGGTTCACTCCGATATCGAGGATGCTCGTGAAGTACATTCGGTCAACAGTCAGATGCATGACGAAAGGGACAGAGGGAGAAGAGGAAAGGATGGCATTCCAAAGAGAAGTCCGTCTTTGAACTCGCATCGAACGCGCGAGCGATACTGGGACAGTGTCGAAGATTAAAGTACGAGGCTCCCAAGTATTCTCATTCACTGGATTTTCTAGCCATTTCACCAGGAGCTCCTTCCGACCGCAATGTTCCTCTCCACCACAACATTCTTGACGTGGTAGTAAAGATTTTCTTGTCGATCTAGAGAAGTAGTAACTCATTCGCGGACGTAATCGCATTCAGAACGGGAGAAACATTACCGCGATCAACAAAATCGTTGATTCCTGTGTGTGCTCAGCCACACAACGGGTGTGAACTAACCTTTGAGGTCATTTGTACCCACTGACCCAAAATCCAACTTAACCACTGTATAAGTGAGAGTATAGGCATACCCGGTCGTAGTCAATATCTTCGACTTTCCATTACACACATGTCGACAGCATTGACCTGTCTTGAAGAAGGCAACAGTCGGCGTCGCTCCTTCATTATTCTTTCCGTTTGGGCAAACCGTCATGCCCACAAACGATTCATTCGTTTTCAAGTAGCCAGTTCCGGGTACCGCTTGATCTGTCGACACACTTCCTGAGAGTACGGTCAAGACATATATGGCTAAGCGAGGATATGATCTAGGTAGCGAGATTGTATTTGATATGACATAGCGTGTAGACATCAAATCAAATAAACAAGCTGTTAAATTATTCGGTGATGCTATCAACAAATGCAATGTTAAAAAACTGCTTGTTCACTATAATACAGGGAGAGGTATACGATTTTTTTGACGACGACAAGATTTCTATTAGGTCCTAAGCCTGGTTATCGGTGTCGGGGTCGTACAAAACTTGTCCAGTACGGGGACATCTTGTGGGAGTTGTTCTCGAACTCTTGTAATTGGAGTGAAAGACGCGTTTCCCTTTCAATCTGTCCTGGGCGCTTTCAATCACGTGTGATGACTGGTTGTATCTTATCTAGTGCTGTATTCTAGAACTCGTGTAAACTTCCTTCCATTGTTTGCTTTTCATGCTAAAAAATGACTCAATTGCGCTTTATCCAGAGCGTTGTTTTGCATATGCTGCATAGTATTCTCCACATCCTTTTCTATGCAATCTCGTACTGATCTGCCTCATTCGAGTGGTAGACGCATTTTTCAGCTTTGGACAATTCTAAGCCTGTCGACGTGCGATATTCGTTAAAATCTTGCCCAGAGTCCCCAGTTCCCACGATCTCATGTCTATATGACAGATCTTAGTAGGTCAGTAAGCCTACACAAATGCATTGTCGTAGATGATGTGCTTCATTGTCACCTTGGAATCGCAACAACATTCTAGCTGTTGTCGACTAAACGTGCCAGATGATGTGGGTTAACTGTCCGCGTGCTACACGATAGCAAACCCAAACTTTGATTCGTTTTGATGTTTGGGATCATGGTCTAGGGCCGCCAATATCCAGTACCTCGATTTTGCCGTGTGTTGTTTCTTGTCCTCTGTTTTGGCAAGAGATTCCTATTTCAAGTTTCGTGATTGGCCTCTGAACATGTTTGCTGGCAGTTGATCGCGTTGCTGCCCACGGAAAAGCATGAAGCCTTGGGTGGGCAATACTCACTTCTCAACCTCGATGCTGTAGCATCTTCATATCTTTCGTGAGCTCCAAATTATTCATCGCCGAATCTGGCAACTGCCAATGAATCCATTTGTCTGCTGAGTCAGTTCGATTGGAACTTGCCGTCTTTGTCGGTTTCGGTGCCCGAGAATACCAATCTCTCCACTCATATATGGGCTTTAAGAATTGTGAAGCAAATGAATATACAGTCATCTCGAATAGTATTGCTTTAGTTTGAGATCCGAAAACCTCAGGGTTATAATGAGAAATTTGCGGTCTGTATCTAAATCCATGTGGTCCACTACATTATGACACTGCTCCGGAGTTCCACTAATACGCGATCGATGATCTCTGCAGTTATGGATTACAACATAGATATAAGCATTCAAAGTCTACGTGTGTGTTTATTTATAATGTTACTCGACATAATAGTCTATCAGTCGTCAGAGTCTAAAAGACCGTTCGCAAAAGCGTGTGGAGTGTATACAGTGCTTCTGATGCCGTTGGTCGATCCTTGGGGTCAATAGATACGCATTTTAAACCAAGTTCTTTGATATCCTGAGGAGCCGCTGAGGAGAATTGAATGCGAAGTTTGCCGGTGGCAACCATTTGTAGGATAGCCAGGTCAGGCATTACTCGACCAGAGTCACTATTCTCTTTCACGTTTGCGTATGGAATCAAATGCTGGTCTAATTCGGCCAACACGACACCAAACGAGAACATATCGGCTTTGTCATCGTAACGTTCACCCATCATTACCTCAGGGGCCATCCAACGCGAAGAGCCGACTCCTCCAGTCATCGTGTGATCAGAACGCTCGCGAGATACTCCAAAGTCTGTAAGTTTAGCATGCAGCTGAGATGTTAATAAGATGTTTTTCGATTTGAGATCGCGATGAAGTACAGGGGGCGACAACGAATGGAGGTAAGTGAGCGCATGTGCAACATGAAGCGCAATTGTTGCCTTACTGCGATCGATACCTTGTGGAGTTTTGTTATCTTCGCATGTCTTGAGCATCGTCCGAAGATCGCCACCTTGCATGTACTCAGATAAGACACAAATATCATTAAGAGAGTCCCAAGCTACACCAATGAATCGAACAATACGCTCGTGGTTGAGTGTTGCCATGAGCTTGACCTCAGCGAGAAAGGCATTCAAGTGAGTGATACTCTTACGCATTTCTGGCAAAAGCATCTTGACAGCAACGCGTTCTTCGTTGAACATGGCCGAATAAACTTCGCCGTAACCTCCTCGACTGATAAGATCCTGAAGTATAACCTTCTCACGCGGAACACGAGCAGTGACGATGATCTCATCTTCCCATAATTCGCTAGTACCACTCGTTTTTCGTCGACTCCATACATTGTGAGTACCTTTTTGCGAGTACGTAGCATCGGAGCCTAACGTAATGGCGTTCAGAGCGCTCTCGGGCGTTGGGTAGCCAGCATAACTTGTAGCAAGAGCTGCAATACCGATGTCCTTACTTAGAGCCTTCTTGTGGCGCCGTCGAACGAACTTAAACGCAGCAAAAACCACAAACGCTACACAAGCTACCGATCCAATCACAATGAAAATGATGGTAGGCCAGCTAACACCAGTAGATTCGACGAAGCTCCGTGCGTCTAGAGGCTGATCGTTCTCGAACGAGAAAACTGAACTGCTCGAATCATTTCTACCAGACGATTTGCCTGTATAGAATCTGTACCTATTTTGAAAACAATCGCCGTGAGTTATGGTCTCCTTATCCAATCGAAGCATTAAAGATGGTTTGCCACTACAATCTCCATTATCATATTCAAGAACAGATGCTGTTTTGTTCGAAAAGAGACGAACGATAGTAGATGTGTTGGACATTGTGGAGAATTTCTCGCATGTTTCGGACGCTGGATACACAGTAGTCTGTACCAAATTGTCGCATCCGACACCGCTGTATAGTTCCATCATGACGAAATCAGATTCTTCAAAGCGGCGATTTGTGTACTCGAATCGATCTTGGACATTACACGTTACAGCCACATAGAGCACCGAACTCTCATGACCCTCTGGGGTACACATTTGTGAGGTACAGGGATCACTTTCGATCAATTTCATTGTGTTTGGCGTCCCATTACAGTGACTATCAGAATAAATCTCTCTCGTAGACCAACTAATCACAAACGAGGGCGTAAGAAGCACTACCTCCGTTGCGAATGACCATCGCATGAACGACATTTTGTCGAAAATAGTGAAGGTCGAATGAGTACAGAAAGACAGTTTAGTTTTTGGACAGGATCCCAGCGATTGGCCCGCAGATGGAAAAGCGCAGGGTCCCCATCGCGGCTAGAATCTCGGTGGGTGGAGTGTCAATACTAATATAACATTAACGTGGACATTAGGAATGTATCAAGATTGGAGTGATGGGAGATACTTTATGTTACATGTCTGATTAATATTCCCATATTAAATGTGGCAATGGCTTGAAATTACATTCGTCTTAGAGCATTGGTAACAATAGTAATCAAGTTTTAATTTTCCAAAATGTGAAATTACATTATTTTAATCGTATCTTCAAATTACTATGTTTTCTACACCATTACATTTCTCCCCTCCTACCGTACTCGTCTGTCAACACGGTATGAAGCTTGAAGAGCACTTCAGCTGCTGTCGGACGATCGTGAGGATTCACTGCAACGCATGCCAAGCCTAAATTTGACACTGAATTGATACTTGAAAACTTGACACGTAGTTGTCCCATTGTCACTAAATTAATAATCGCACTGCTTGGGATCTTGTGGCTTGAATCGTTCTCATTTGTCGCGAGTGCATACGGCAAAGCGTGGAGATCTAACTCGGATAATACCACACCCATGGAAAAAACATCGGCCTTATCGTCGTATCGCTCGCCCAACATCATTTCCGGCGCCATCCAATGCGATGTTCCTACGCCTGCTGTCATTGTACTTTCAGCATTTTCACGTGAGACGCCAAAGTCCGAAAGTCGAGCGTCCAACGTATCACTGAGCAAAATGTTTTTAGATTTCAGATCACGATGCAAGACTGGCGGGTCAAATGAATGCAAATACGTGAGCGCATGAGCAATGTGGAGAGCAATTGTGACCTTGGTCACGTCATAGCCGACAGGCATATTTTGCGATTCATATGATTCAAGCAATGCTCGCAAATCACCTCCTTCCATGAACGTAGTAAGAAGACAGAGGTCAGAGAGTGAGTCCCAAGCAACGCCGACAAAGTGTACAATGCGCGGGTGTTCTAAAATGGACATGAGCTTAACCTCTTCTAAGAAAGAATTAAGACATTTCATACTCTTGCGATGCTCTGGTTGCAGCATCTTGATTGCAACGTGCTGGCCATTAAACCAGCCCGAGATGACTTGACCATATCCACCATAACTGATCACTTGCTCAAACTCGATTTTTTCACGATCGACACGAGCTGCGGCGATTTCCAAGTCGTTCCAAAAGTAGCTGATACCTTGCTGCTGTTTTTCAGTTGCGGATGAGGAGCTCCTGGTATTTGTTTCCATGCTCACGCTCATTTGTCGATCGGACATTGGCGTGTAGTCCATGCAGCTTACACTGCCATCAAGATCATTGCTTCTTAACTCGGCACGAGGATATATTCGTTTCCATAAAAAAATTGCTGTCACAAACCCGACCACACCCGCAGCTATAACGGTAGATATCAAAGCTGTAGTGCTCATCGATTTGTTAATGCTTGGAGAGTGATCTAAATCGACGCCAGCTCCAAGACCTAGAACGCTTTCGCTGCCGCGGGTGTAGAATCTGTAATAATTGTCGACACAGTCTCCACTTTTGATATTGCCGCTGTCCAACAGAAGACTCATGTACGCATTACCTTCGCAATTTATGTCTGCAAACAACTGGATTGATGCCGATCCATTCGAGAATAGCTCAGAAATGATTGAATAACTTCCAAACACGCCTGCATGTGTGCACTTTCCTGAGGTTGTCACAACTCTAGTAGTATGTAAGTTCTCACATCCGACACCTATATAATCCTCGATGACAATACAATTTTCTTCGTCAAAGATCTTTCTAGCATACTCAAACCCATTCGAGATATTACAGACATCGTGAATAAACTGTGTAGCATTATTGACTTCAACCAACATGCATTGACGGTTAAGACATCTCGTCCCTTGATCAAAATTCACCACGACAGGTACACCTGAGCAATTATTGCGATCATAGATTTCCTTCGCAATCCACTGTGAGATCACTGAACGCGAGAACAAAAGGAGTAAAGTCGCCACTAAGGCCATCGCCATAAGGGTCGGACTGTACTTTGTGGCTGTCACTTATCGCAGAAATGGCGAAGAAAGGAATGAGCATCTGAACGAGTGAGTGCGGTCAGTGTAAAGCAACTGCGCATGCTAAAACAATACATATCCTTTTTATGTTTACCTCTTTATCTAGATGTACAGAACATAAACAAAGCAATTCACAGATAATTAGACTTTTTCAGTACATCATTACTGTCCTGAAGAATCAGAAGAACATCAAGCTACTGTCGTAACTCTCGTATCTCTGTGCAAGTGGATCGCGATTTCGTTCTCTGTAATAAACATCTATTTGTAACGGTATCAATCGAAAGACTTGACCTTCATAAGTCTATAGCCTTGAAAAGTTACATGACATCAACAAATTCGCAGTCCAGCAAAAATGCAGATGTTTCATCAATCTGATGATAATGTTTGGATATAAAGCTACTGTTTGTTATAGACAATTTTGACATGAATGCTGTTGAAAAGAGGCATTAAGAATCACGACAGCATGCCTGTTATAAGGTTGTCGTGACGTTATTGATAACCTGTTGTTTGATCTCGCCGCACCGACTAAACACAGCCTAAGAGATGGCCGTGAAAATTGTACTGTACATGCAGTCACGAATAGTAAAAGCTGTATCGTTGCTCAGCTTACGATTATCCGTATCGCACTTAGGTGTCTTACTCAAGCCTAGTAACAAGATGTTGGTACGCTCTCAGATCGACTTATCGGAATTAAAGTATCACTGTTCCGTCTCAAAAGTTAGTTGACTCGACTATGTTCCGAAATTTTAAATATGTACGATTTAGACATTATAGGATTACTGCTATTGCCGGAAAAAAGGGGCATTCTGAAATTTTCCTTCTAATACTAATTCTTTTATTCTAATGAACCAAAAAGTTGGGCGAAATATATAGCAATGCGACGATAATTGACTGAATATCTACAAATGCGGTCTATTGCGTTTCGAATGATACAATCACAACCGTATAGTATATAAATTGCACTTGAAATTTGTAAGCGGAAAAACCTTAAATCTGAGAATTTCAATGGATTTTTCTAGGAGACATATCGCAATTTGATACCGATCAGATGGGCAATTGAGAGCCGGCCATAGAGGTCCGATTTGAGGTTCTCCTTCTGGTGCATCCCTTCCTAAAACTCATGTCAGCTATCATCCCATCACTTCATTGTTATTCAACTTGGTAGAAAGTTGAGCTCAAAGTTAAAGATGTTCGTACAAAAGCTTTCATGAATTTGAAAAAAAAAAGGAAGCAGCCGCATCATCTGCATCAAGTCAAAACTTGCAATTTAAAGCGTCAGGTTAAAGAACTGGATGTTGATATATTTCTGAATGCACAGCCACGAGAACAAAGGCGCATAAAAGCTTCGATGAACTCAAACGTCCACTCGAAGTATACTCGGTATGCTCTTTGTATACTATCCTGACCTTGTGTCTAACGACAATACAGTGTTTGGGATTATTCTAGCTAGCGTCAAATAGCATGAGAAAAGAGCCATAACATGGAGCATTGCAAAGTGGGTTATAGTGACGACAGATGTGGATTTTATGCCGAGTATGCTGATTTTCGCACGACATTGCGAGTCCGAATGCGTGCTTTTTAAACCGAACAGAATATCTGCAGACCTGAATGGACATTCGTCCACAGTTCGTCTCAATTGATGTCACTTTGGACGAAGTTTTTGCACATGGCCAGCTCTAATCTGCCTCAAGCGTCGATTGACAGCCGTTTCGTTTGACACAGTACTCCCTAGTCATAAATAGCAAGATTATTAGCATGAGCAAACAGGCAGGGCAACAACAATCGCACTCTGCTTCGATAGGATAGAACAATTTTGCTGGCTAAGGGATACCAACTAGTATCGGTGATACTCAAACATGGTTTTAAACTAAAAGTAAGAAAAGAAAATATTTAGTTAGGCAGCAGAGGTTGATTGAATCAAGTGTTTTCTGAAAACAAAAGCAGAGTCTCACGAGACAAATCGCAGATCTATCTCACGCTTCGTGGAAAGTTATCAAGCCTCATAGTGGTGCCTGTAGAAGCTTCCGTCGCATGTTTGTTTATCTCAACTCGTCGGAGCAACAGCTTCACATTAAAATCGAATTGTAGAGATTAGTGTTCGTCAGACGCGAGTTATTCAATGATCCAAGCAAACTGTAATGCTATTACCACGTGGATTATCCATCGCCGTTGAAGAAACCCAACTTTTGCTGTCTAGGCTGATCGGGAAGTCTAAGAAATGGGCTTTTGAGAGACTTCTCATTTATTCACGCTGAATTACGATCTTCGGCTTGCTTGTATCAATGCAAAACGGCTTTTGTGTTATATTGAAAGAGTGATGTTGACATTCTGGCGATGACGACTTTTAACTCATATATAAAGTTTGCTATTTCTCGTCTCCCTTAACAAGTGACCAGATAACTATATCGTACGCAGAATACCTGGTCTAGCGTCGAGACACTTGAGACCTCTGCTGCTTCTATACTTCCAAGGCTGAGAATACCTCGTTTTAAGTAGTGCTACGCATAGCTACCCATTCTTTAGCACGTTTCCTGGCTTGGGGATCACTTGCGCGACGCACTGATGCTCAGTCTGAAAAATGGTCTCCTTTGTCACCATCTCGACTTCTAAAAGTCATTATCTCAATTACTCTCGGATGACGGGAAGCTTAGCAAAAGCACCCTCACTAAGTAGCCGATTTCCCTCTTACAAACGCATTAGCGATAGTGTCCTGGTGGACCGCCACCAGCACACTTTTATAGCCAATGAGCTTTTTCCTTTTGTTTACCTCTTCTAGCCGTAGCACATTCAATTTGCCTTAGCGATGAAGAAAGCCAAAAGGTATTCAAGCTTCTTTAGCTTCTTGGAGACAAATATTCAACCAATTTGTGTTGTATCCACATAGGAAACACAATATTCCTCAAAGCAAACTTTGAAACAAGATGTCCGCGTTAACTGACGCACAGAGAATTGGGTTTGTACGCTGGATCTCGTAGCGAGTCCGGAAGGCTTATTAAATATTATATTTGCTCTTCCATTTTAAAATAACACCTAGACTTGATTTAAACTAATTAAAAGGATAGATGATTGAGGGATGAAAAGTATCTCTTTGGATAGTAAAGGTGTGTACAACATTTTCGACACAGTTGGTACAATCGCATCGTTACTGTGTAGGTTGCATGATGCTGAAGCTGGTGATAGAGAGAATAAAACGACGTGTAATGGCATCAGCAAGAGTCGTGGGTTCAATGTTATTGGTCTCGTCTAGCTTATCCACTTAGCGCAGAAAGTAGTAGAAGCGAGACTTGGTTCGGTGCAAACAGCTTTATGCGGTACGTTGGACTCTCTCTCAGCGGGACTTTGTGGCTAAAGACTCAAGATTCATGTAATCTTTGCATTGCCACAAAAGCAATAAGCATAGAGACAGTAATTTGGACAACCACGACGGTCAGCTCATGCATTTATTGGATAGTGTTTTGATATAGTGAAAAATAAGGGGTTCAGACAAGTACTGGTACACAACTCATTTATGTTTATAACTTTCGCAATCCGATGTTACGGCTCCACTATTTTTGAAGGGTAAGACAAAACCTCGTGATTATCGGCTATTTGCCATTCTACAAATTAGCCGCAGTTTTGATTTCACAACGAATATGATACACATGGCTCATCTGGCTACTTATCAAAGATCAAAGAGCAGCGAAAGTTGATAATGTCACAAAACCACTATAAAGTGCCAGAAAAATAATGACGAAATAAAAATAAAGAAGTAAAAGAGTGTATTTGCCCTACAACTTAAGGTTAGATGTGGCAATGTCGGGCAGGTATGTTTCCCCTAAAGCAACCTTTTTGACATCATTTTCCCTCAGCGCTTCGAAGTACAAAGCTCTTCCATGTCTTTTACCAAATACTCGCTGTAAAGTCTTATAAGACATTTCTTGTGCTTTCTCTTTTCCATGTACTTGGCTCACCACCCGGAAGATGTCTTGAAATTCTGTATCTTTCATGATCGTCAGAATCAGCTTCTCTCTCACTTCTTGATCCCCGAAATTCTCATTTGCACGGATCTTCGTCAATTTATCATTCGACTCAATGACTTTTTTCATCTCCTTGTCGAACGCGGTCATCGTAAATCGATCTTTCATTTTGCCAACCCAGGCAAAATGTGTACCCTCTTTGCCTATTCCAAGCGCTCGTTCTTCGTTTCTATCTTCGTCGTCTTCAATATGCTTCCCAATTGGAATGGTTCTTGCGCAAATTACTGCATAAAGAAATCTCAGTAATCGCCAAAAGCACGAAAACAACCAGCAGGTGAGCTTGAAATCTCTGCATCGTAAGGCTTGGGTAATACGCAGAAGCTTTAAGAATGAGGAATGACAAACGACAGTATCTCGAACAAAATCAACGATTGGCAAACAGACAAAGAAAGCACAAGATTTAACTTATCGACACTTTCAATCAGTAACATTTTTTTTACCATGTAAAGTCCACACAAAAAATAACATGTTTCTGTCTCGGCTAGGAGACACAGAAATTAAGAATAACACTACATTGTGAGGGCGTCCTTTCCATCTAAAACCCTTAAAAGGTGCACTGTGATACTACTCTTCGCAATTTCAGGATGCGTAAACAGAGACAAGATCGTTTGGATGTATTTAACGACGGTGTGTAGCATTAGCTTGCGCGTCACACACAACTATAAACGACATAATCTTATCAAAATAAAGCCAGATGTAAAGCTTGCTGTGAACTCGCTACCGTGCACCATGAATGTATATATATATATATTATAGGCAGGCACGATTGGCATCAAGATTGAAAGAAAATAATGCATCATGTGTCCAACGATGATTGTCAAAGGCTTTTTAACAGAGACGAGTCAAGATATGAATTTCAATATCAATTTGCTGAAAGTAGAGTCCCTTTGCTTATTTCGCTTGCCATAAATCCTAGTTTCCTACCCACAACTTTACGACTTGACGGTTGGTCGGTAAGAAATATCGTTGTTTGTCCTTTATGATCTAGTTGCTGAATTTTGTAGACTTAACGCCAACGATTCGAACTTTGCAGCGTATTTGTTTCAGCATCAATAGATTCATGGCTTGTTGAACTGTCGTCGTCGGTCGTCTTATTAGTGCCGCGAGAATACGAGCAGGTAAAGGCTACAAGTGAGAAGGTGTGCCCGGTGGAGAGAGTACAGGTTTGCGAGCTCTTTTACATTATTTTTAGCATGTACTGCAGCATTATCGACGAGCAATGCACGCTGCGTTGTTGCTATCTTCGTTAGTAAGCCATTGAAGAAAATCTCGCGCAATATTGCCGTGCGGAAGATTTCATCTTACCCAGCGATCCCAGAGTCTTGTAAAGCAATCAGCTATCACCCCTTTGCTCATCGACAGAGCGGCAGCATTTCCGATACAACATGATGCACTTCTTTACCGTAGACCTAGGTTCTGAAAACATGTAATATAATCTAATTTCATCCTTTTCGGCTGGAATGGCTTCTCTAGTTACTGAATTACCCGTCATACAACTCAATGAGCGAAAGCTGTGTCTTAGTGTTACGGTACAACGAGGCTTGCATGTCAATATTTTATTTATTAGCGTCTTCAAGTCGATTATCTGATTAAAAACTTTCGAGATCAAAGATTTCTGCGATAGATTTAGCGCCTCTCACGCCCACGTGGCCAATTCGACTCGCGAATGCTCTTCATTGTAATCGCAGATTTAAAGATGCTGTGCATTTGTACGTGACGTTGTGCGTTTGTGATTGATTGACGTGGACACTTGACTATCTTGATATATGTATCTAACGATATAAGTACGAATATTATATAATTTGGCCATAACGAAGCGCAACCTTCATATTTTGCAGCATCTACCTACAGTTGTGACTAACTTTACATGAAGGTTGCAGTCTCTTGTACTGAAGTCGTAAGTACTTCCATCTTACATTTCGGTACAGTTATAGCTGTATAAAAAACGTGAATAAATAGTATTTGTCCAGAACCTGAATTCACGTACTCCTGAAATTGCAGATCTGCTACGGACTTGATGCTCTCATTTCTGCTCTTGATTGGAGAGAAAGAGCTGAATTTTGTGTGCTGCTCTCATTCTGCACCTGGTTGGAGAGAACTAGCTGAATTTTGTTTGCTTGCTAATGTGAAATTGTTGAGTCGAAGTTTCGTTTGAGCAAAATACACGGCAAACCCGCTGTACTGAATGCCGCTAAATTTACTCACAATTACCGTTCTCATTGAGGTTTCGCTCACAACTACGATTCGCCCCAAAGGATACGGTGGTGCCACAGTAAATGCAGAGTTCAATTCCGTGCCGCTAGGCTCGGTTGGACCGCGGAAAGGGGAAGTTCAACGAGCGCGCCAGAGGCCATGGACCCCAGTCATGCTGAGTACGAAAAGAGTGGCATCATAGCTGCCTTGTAATTTCAGTGATAAACTCTCGGAATTAAATATCGAAACACAGTGTATCCTTCTCTCATGGTTGATGGTATAAAGCGTTGAGTATTCAAACACAATCGCTCGACAAAACTTTCGCGGTGAATCTTCGATTTTTGATGTCACTGAGTATTTTAACGTGAAAAATAATTCCCCATTGATCCTCGCGGGGATCCAGCTTAATTACACAAAACCCTAACAAAAGGCAACTTTATCGAAGAGGTTAATTACTTCACCTCAAAGTTGCTAATTGATTATGATTGGGCTGCTAAGTGTTTATAGTAGAGCTCGGCGGAGAAGCGGCAGCAAGCAAGGGGGGCAAAGAGAAGAGATCGTATATCGCGGTTCCCAAATAAAATGATTTCGTCTCCAGTTGTGCATCCTGTGTCAGATCCAGCGATAGTTGGACTCGGAGAGTGGCAGTAAGTCGCAAGCAGAGGCACCATGTATTGAAGCTAATGAAGAATCTTCACCCATCTCATGAACTCACGGTACTACTGGGATGTAGCAATAATTTGTCGCGCCCAGCGTATGCAGTAGTAAAATTCTATGGGTTTATGATGAGAAAAAAATTTCGCGCCATAAAAAGACCGGGGTAGTCGTAAGAGTTATGAGTCTCCTCGCACTATCTCCGACAAAATCTCTCAGTGAGATAGATGAACAATCCGTTGGAAGTGTGTGCAGAGCACTGCAAGCTGTCAAATTGCTATAATGGTATGAATGAACCCAAGAAGGACGTAACGTCATTATCCATAATGGTAAATCAATCATTTGAAAATGATCACCAAGCACTGATCGAACAGCTATCCTCATGAATCTGATAGATCATATAATCTTTCTAGCTTAACAGCAGACAAATACTACTCTGTTTATGATAAAGAGTTACTTGCAATGAAGCATAATTTTAAAAGGCTAGGCTGCAATTGCTAGGATCTGAATCATTTGCGATGGATAAAAATCATGCATCGGTGCATACAACGTCGCCCTCACTTCCTCATATTTTTTTGGAGGAACTTTAGGAATTAGCGACAAAAGAGCCAGCGCACGTTTACCTGAACAGAGGATGCGTCGTAAAAATAACTAAATTTCGTGTTATACGGCAATGACCTCTGCCGATATCGCAGTGGGACGTCGGTTTCAGTTTTTGCGCTTGCTCATGACAAGCATGTAGCTACATGGTACCGCGATACCGACGCGGACGCTGATTTCCAAAAACGATACGCTAAAGAACAGCGCGATCGGCCGCATTTTTTCACTGCCCTTGACCATGGAAGAATTAATTTTTATTTACTTATTGAGGATAATGACATCCTACTCAATTTGGTGAGTTCTTTAATCTTTGTATTTATAGGACTGGTTGGCAATTCCCAACGTCTAATTGTCGAATGGCGCATTTGTTCAAGCAACATTGTACCAATGATCAAACCGATACATTTTCACAATGGATTCGTCTATAATCGACCAGAACACCAAGGAATCAGATGTAAGCAGTGATATGCGCTGATATAAGCGGGTTACCTTCAAAGACAAGTGTGTCTTTGTCGCCAACAGAAACGTTTATCTGAGTTGCTTCGTTGGAATGCATGTTCTGCTAAGAAAAATAGACCATTGTCTTTTGGCCAAGTGCCTCTATCGCAAGAGGACCCTCTACTTGCAAAATACGATAAAAATGATGCCGACTTGACCTTTCCCTCGCGAGTCATCTCATGATAGTATTTCCTGTCGTATATGACGCTCTAGCTTTTGCCATAGACGTTGCTCTACTCTAGCCAGATGCCGACGGGCATTGACGCGATTTTATCTCATCACACTTGAGGGTCGATAGAGAATAACTTGTTCGTCTATGACAAGGAGCTACTCTTTATGAGAAATGCACCTATCAATTTCACGGAACAGCTGCTTCGCTCTAAGCCATCAGTTTTGACAAAACTATGGGTCGATCGCACACCGACGTTGCCACCACATCTCATACAGAGAATTGCATTAATATCCTTTTTTGTTAAGTATTCAGGTATAAGCCTGCGCTTTCCAGTTGTCGTGAATTCGTGATGTCGCCAATCGATAAGGCTATACGTACAGCGTGTGAGCCAGACACGTAGAGAAGGCTTTGGCAAGAAAAATCAAACTCAGATGCCGATTTACCGAAGCGCGAGGTCGAACATCCGGTACTCTATTTCTTCCTCGTCAGCATCGACCAACATAACACTCAAGGTGTCGGGAACGTTATAATGGGGGCCTCGTACACAAAATATTGTACGAGGCGTAAAATAATCGACTGGATGGTCGCCATAGAAAAGAAAAATAAACAGCTCGGTGCATGCTATGTACTGGTGACTTACATGTAATTACTTATGTGCGCCAACGCGTGCATAACATGCAAATGCGTTGAACACTCAACGCTTGGTTCGGAGCCTTTGACAAGTCTGCCGCTTTGGTAAAAATTATTGTGACAGGCTTATTATTAATTTTCGAGATAAAACTTCTGCTGATCTCTGTAATGTAGAAATCGTGGTGAATCTATGCATCCTAGCTCATTTCGCTAAGCTCACAATAACATAACGGGCGAAAATACACTCAAGCAGATTTTTGATAAAAAAAATACAAGATGGCTTGATGTAGCTATTGTCTCAAAACGAGATCTGCACTTTACAGCGAGATTTGCGCAAATGCATACTGCCGCTATAGGATTTACCGCCTTTTACATAATTGTGCTCCGCAACCATAGCCGTTTTGTTATACCGCCACAAAGTGGCTCCGATTTGGTAAGGGAGTGGCTGTTGATCCCATTCGACTCGCTGATATGGTCATGACTGCACCTCTTACTAAGCCAAGGATGTCATTTCGACAACATTGATCATCATGTAGAGAGCGTGCGACGCGATGTCGAAGAACCATAATGCGCAAAATAAAATTCAGACACCATAGACAGAACGCAATATTGATAAGGGTGAATGGTTTTATCGAATGCGATTTTTCAAATAACCATGCTGTGACTATCGACTATAAGACAACATGCGATCCTACTACGTCGCGCTGTTCGCAGCCGTTTCTAGAAAGAGCTACGAGCTACACTAAGAATATCCCGAAGGAAATACAAAGACATCCTGTGTATTGAGTGGGAGCTTTGAAACATACAAGGTCGCAGTCTTTTGAGAGGTTTAAAAATGAAGCGCTATGCTGTGGAGACATCCGGCTGTGGCTGCGCTACTTGCTATATGAAAGCGATACGTTCTCGGCCGAACGGGATCATCAGGCTTATCAATACAATGAGTAGTCCAGAAAACTAAAAAGCACATTCGGCCACTCGTCGAGACAATCGGGAAGATCCGACTTGACGCCATAAAGAGAGGGCAAATGAGTACCATTTGCATTCCGGCAGCGCTACTCGATGAGTAAGGAGTGGCCCACTTTCGTATGTGACCGGAAACTTACTCAGTCTACTGCTATCACTTAAAAAATATACCTAAGTTTGTGAGTATTTGAAAACTAAATCAGCATGGCGCCGTCTTGACATCTATAACTTTGCGTAACTTTCAGTCATATCTATTTAACATATATATTAAGTACAATCGACTTGCAAACCTGTAAGAAGGGTGAGGCGACGTACCATGCTACCTAAAAACGCGATACTATTCCATATTTTGCCAGCATTTGATAAAAGAGGAATAGTCCAATAGAAAGTGTATGGATTTACCCAATTGCTGCTGCTCTACCCGCGGGCACTCCTAAGAACAAGTGACCTTTGGAACGCCTATCGATCGATCATTTTACTCTTGGTCTCAGTGCAAACGCTTTTGTGGCTCTTGTGCTTGCAGACGGGCAATTGAAATGGGCTGAAACGGGCTGCTCGAGCAGATCATGGAGAGTCCAGACCATCTCTTTCTCAACAATGGCTCTGCTGTATGTCTTTTGGTGAGGACGGAGGCTATATTATCCGTTCTGATAAGTCTGACTACCTTAATAACTTGAATGTGGTCGGCCAAAATGTCTTCGGACCCCAGTGGGATACACGTGTTAGAAACACGGCTTACAGCATACGTTGCGCGATTGAATCTCCGGACCATAGGACGACATGATTGCGCCCACGATGACGCGTCATGATTGCGCCCTGAAAAAACGCCATAGGAAAGGTTTAGAGGTAACTCGGAATATCGAACTAAGGACCTCAATATACTCAATTCGTGTTATGAGCCCAAGTGGCTCCGACGACGCGTCAAGCGCACCGACCCCAGTCAGCTTCGACGCCGGCCACGACAGGGCCACAGCATCTCCAGTAGCTGTGGAAGCCACGCCCTCCGCTCATGAAAGGAGCGACGGCGTCAACGCAAGGTTCTCGCCACGTTCCTCGACCTCCAAGCACGGATGACGCAGATGGAGGCCTCGCAAGTGAAGCGAGACGA